CACAGTAAAAATTATTTCCTAAAAATATTTTCTACTAACAAACCAAACATGAGAAATAAGTCATAGATGTATTTGTTTTCCTTCATACCCCTATATATGTGGAAGCTCCCCTTAATTTTACTCATGCTTTTTTATTATTTCCAATTTCCTCCCTTATTTTAGAGTATGTGTGTTGTGTGTATTTCTCATTTTAATAAAAATTGATTTTCTTAGTAATGTCTTTTGGACTTACGAATGCCCCTGCTGCTTTCATGAGTCTGATGAACGGGATTTTTAAGCCATATCTGGATCTCTTTGTCTTTGTGTTTATTGATGATATACTGGTATACTCAAAGAGCAGGAAAGAACATGAGGAGCATTTGAGGATTGTGTTGGAAGTGTTGAGGGAGAAAAGACTTTATGCAAAATTTTCCAAGTGCGAATTTTGGCTAGATTCAGTGTATTTCTTGGGGGACGTGGTTTCTAAGGATTAGGTGATGGTGGATCCTTCTAAGATCGAAACAGTGAAGAGTTGGGTAAGACCTACCAATGTTACAGAGGTAAGGAGCTTTGTTGGTTTAGCTAGCTACTGCCGTCGATTTGTCAAGGGATTTTCTTCTGTTGCCTCCCAACTGACAAATTTGACTAAGCAGAATGTTCCATTTGTATGGTCGGATGAATGTGAAGAAAGCTTCTAGAATCTCAAGACCTTGTTGACTACTGCACCAATTCTTACCTTGCCAGTGGAAGGCAAGAATTTCATTGTTTATTGTGATGCATCTTATTCTGGGTTGGGTGCAGTGCTAATGCAAGAGAGAAATGTGATTGCTTATGCCTCAAGGCAATTAAAAGTGCATGAACGTAACTATCCGACCCACGATTTGGAGTTGGCTGCAGTGGTATTTGCATTAAAGCAATGGAGACACTATCTATATGGGGTTAAGTGTGAAGTCTATACCGATCATCGTAGTTTACAATATGTTTTTACTCAGAAGGATTTGAATTTGAGGCAGAGGAGGTGGATGGAACTACTGAAGGACTACGATGTTACTATATCGTATCACCCAGGAAAAGCTAATGTGGTGGCAGATGCTTTAAGTAGAAAAACAGGGAGCATGGGTAGTTTAGCCCACTTACAAGTTTCTAGACGCCCATTGGCTAGAGAGGTCCAAACCTTGGCTAACGACTTTATGAGACTAGAAATACTAGAGAAAGGAGGATTTTTGGCATGTGTGGAGGCAAAATCTTCTTTTCTTGACAAGATTAAGGGAAAACAGTTTGATGATGAGAAACTAAGCCGAATTCGGGATTTGGTGATGCGAGGAGAGGCTAAAAAGGCAATAATTGATGATGAAGGCGTTTTGAGAATTAATGGAAGGGTATGTGTGCCCCGTGTTGATGATTTGATCTACACCATTCTTACAGAGGCTCATAGTTCAGGATATTCTATACATCCTGGTGCAACCAAGATGTACCGTGACCTAAAGCAACATTTCTGGTGAAGTAGGATGAAGCATGACATTGCTAATTTTGTTGCCCAATGCCCGAATTGTCAACAAGTAAAGTATGAACACCAGAGGCCCGGAGGAACACTTCAGAGAATGCCCATTCCTGAATGGAACTGGGAAAGAATTGCAATGGATTTCGTGGTTGGTCTTCCAAAGACATTGGGTAAGTTTGATTCTATTTGGGTAATTGTTGACAGATTAACTAAGTCTGCTCACTTCATTCCGGTCAAGGTGATGTACAATGCAGAGAAGTTAGCTAAACTTTACATCTCAGAAATTGTTCGGTTGCATGGAGTTTCACTTTCCATCATATCAGATAGAGGAACGCAATTTACTTCTATGTTTTGGAGAACATTGCATGCTGAATTAGGTACTAGGTTGGATCTTAGTACTGCATTCCACCCTCAGACAGATGGACAGTCTGAGCGAACGATTCAGGTGTTGGAGGATATGCTTCGTGCATGTGTGATAGAATTTGGTGGTCATTGGGATAACTTCTTACCCTTAGCAGAATTCTCTTACAATAATATCTATCACTCAAGTATTGATATGGCCCCATTTGAGGCACTGTATAGGAGGAGATGTAGGTCTCCCATTGGTTGGTTTGATGCATTTGAGGTTAGGCCTTGGGGTACTGACCTTCTGAGGGATTCATTAGAGAAAGTAAAATTTATTCAAGAGAAGTTTTTAGCATCTCAGAGTAGGCAGAAGGAATATGCAGATCGAAAGGTTAGAGACTTGGATTTTATGGAGGGTGAGCAAGTCTTGTTGAAGGTTTCTCCCATGAAAGGGGTGATGCGGTTTGGTAAAAGAGGTAAGCTAAGCCCAAGGTATATTGGACCATTTGAAGTACTTAAGCGAGTAGAGGAGGTGGCTTATGAATTAGCCTTGCCTCCAGGACTCTCAAGAGTGCACCCGGTATTTCATGTGTCTATGCTGAAAAGATATCATGGAGACGGAAACTACATTATTCATTGGGATTCAGTTCTTCTTGATGAGAATTTGTCTTATGAGGAGGAGCCTGTTGCTATTCTAGATAGAGAAATCCGCAAGTTGAGATCAAGGGAAATTGCATCCATCAAAGTTCAATGGAAGAATCGACCAGTTGAAGAGTCCACTTGGGAGAAGGAGGCTGATATGCACGAAAGATACCCAT